AATAATGTGTTTTTTGAACATTAAAGCATGTCAACATATTCTGTTACACCAGAATGTTTTAATTAATTGCATGCATTAACGCGTTAACATTGACAGCCCTAATTTAAAGGAACGCAAACATAAGTAGATCCAGTCATCTGAATTCTAATTGCACCATAAATACTCTAATGCCAAATTTACACTGCAAAGGAGGATGTTTTAATTAATTGCATGCATTAACACGTTAACATTGACAGCCCTAATTTAAAGGAACGCAAACATAAGTAGATCCAGTCATCTGAATTCTAATTGCACCATAAATACTCTAATGCCAAATTTACACTGCAAAGGAGGCGCAGAAGCACTTCTGAAGTGGCATTTAGGTGTCTTAGTATTAGTCTTTAGTATTGTGAGGTAACCACCGAACCACTGCAGGAACAAAACTCATGTTTCTGACAAGGTTTTCCCAACAGCATTATGTTATTATATTTCTGCATGAGTGAAATCACATATCACCACTAGAACAACTGATCAAATCACCTTCGCTCCATCTGCGATCTCACTGTAGGAGTGAATTACAATCTTTGAGTTTCTAGACACAATCTGTCATTACACCCATAATTCTCTCTGCTTATTTCTCAACAGCTTGTATAAACAGAGGACACATCACATCTACAATATTAAAAGACTCATCTTGCTAGTCTCCCATAAATATGTAATTCTTGCTCATGTTTTGGATTGGAGATGTCAGTCCTGCTATTCATGCAATATACACAGCCGGCCTACAGGTGTGTAAGCATGTGATTGAATGTAATCATGCATTATTCAACAAGCCGATTGAATATTCGTGAGACCGAAGCTGCTTGCTGTGTTCAGGAAGGACACATTGTCAATATATTGTCAGCCTCTCAAGTGCCATGGGAATAGAGTTAATTCCAGAATAAAAAGTTGTGCATACGGTCCTACAACACTGCTTAATGATCAAGGAAACCGGTCATTTAAATGAGGAAACTGCATTTTTGTGAAAAGATGCAATGGAATGTATTCCACTTGTAAATTATTGTATTTTGAACCTCAAAGAAAGGGAGTTGAGAGAGAGAGAGGAAATCTGGAAATAAAGGAAGTTGTCAGGGTCATTCTCTCCAGGCAGCTGTAACAAACACAGGATGTGCTCTCATGCACAAAGCTAATTGGACACTGGTTTGTCATCTCTCTTTCAATGCACCCTTCCCTGTCTCTCCTCTCCACATGCACACAAATATTCTGTGCTAGAGAGGGATGTAAAAAAATGTTGGTGACAATTTCTATGAAGCCTGTATATGTAAGGGTATTCATAATGCATTCATAAGGTTTTAGATTTTAACAGTTGAATGTTAAAACCAGTTATAATACATTATAATACTTACCAGTATACCTTTTAATATTTATAATCAATAATGTTTAAATTTAAATTTTAAATTTTTTAATTAACAACAGAAATAGTACTCCTTGATCATGTTATCAACCTCAATGAGAATATGACACTTCTCTATACCAACATAATTTACATTTTACAGGCATATCAATCAATTCATCCGTCATTATTGTTGTATGTACTGTTCTAACTGCAAAACCATGATCAAAACTGAAGTCCCTATTCCTCCAGTCAAATCACAGCATGCTTTTAAAGAGCTGATCTGATCTTACGCTCTCTGTGTCTTACCTCCTGGACCCTCTAGAGAACTGCTCGATCCAATCTCCTCCAGGGACGATCTGTTATAGAGACTCCCAGCCATAGTTCAATCATAGTTTCTGAAACCTCTTTTCCTGCCTCTAATTCACATACGTTCCTTCCCTCTTTTCTGTTCCTTCACTTTTTTCACCTCTTTGACATCAGCATTAGTTTCCAGAAAGCCTCCCCACCTCTCATTCTTCCTCTCCCTTGCTAGATCTTCAGTTTCTTGTCTGTTCCCTCCCTGTCTTGTGACACCTCAGGCTTCCTTGCTCTTCCCATTTTTGCCTTCCCTCTTCATCCCTCCTACTGTAAGTTTAAAGTCAGCATAAACGGCTGGGCTTTCTGCCTCCTAATATCCTTCTATCTGACTCTAGCAACACAGATTCCAGATATACAGGTTGCCAGAGAATTTCAGCCTCCTCCCCATCACTCCCTCTCAGCTGCTGAAGACTGTGACAGACTCACCAAGAAAGCTCAACATAGCTGTAAAACCAAACGCAGAGACCTGATAAGAGGCGACAATGTAAAAGAGCGAGAGACTGAATAGAGAACAACAGATGAAGAGGAAGAGAAAATGGCTCATGCGAACAAAGAGTGAAGTGGAAATTCTCCTTAGGAAAAGAAGAATCACTTGAGAGCTCTTTATAAAATGTAGTCTCCTTAAATGTGTCTCCTATGAAATTACATAGAAAGTGGAGACTTATTTAAGTCTCTTGGATCTCTGTCGTTTTATTTGTGAGAAAATCTTTCCGATGAGTTCTCAACAATGTCTCAAACCCTGCCAAGATATGTCTGCAATCAGAAATCAATATGAAATGTCAATTTGAGGTACCTCTAAGATGATCTGAACTATCCTATGCACATTTATTTTGTCGTTAGCTACAGTAAAGGTGGTAATTTTGTCCTAAATAAATAAAATATTATTTTATAAACGGTGAAAGTGGTGGAGAGTTTGCAGTGCTGTTGTGGTGAGATAAATGGTTGTTATCGTTGATGATCTTTTAATATGAATTAACCAGGCATGCAAAAATAACAACACTTGGCATATAAAATTCAACGACTTACAATCAACAAATAACTAAGAAAATATTTTAGATTACAAAAATTACAAAACAAGTAAAATGACATTACAATAATTAAAGAAATACAAAAATGTGTTAATGTATTAGATTTCATGAACTAACAACATATTTCCTATTAATCTAGGTTAATGTTAATTTATAAATATACTATGAATCTGTTTAAATGTTTGCTAATAATGCATTAACTAGTTACGTTTATAGTTTAGTTTTTGGTTATTTTTTACAACTTAACATGTTTAAATTACATAAGTATATTAGTATGCATTGGTCACTACTGACAAATATATCTTTTTGTAAACTGTCACCCAAGTAACTTAAAGAGCTATAACAAAATATAACAAGAGGCAGAAAAATGTGACTGCGTGCTGTATTCATGCCACAATGCATGCTGGGAACCTAAGCACCAGTACGGTACTGTGGACATCACACTATTACAGTTAATCTGTAAATAAACATGAGATGTCTGTAAATAGACACAGATAATAAATACAGACACAGATCATCACTGTGATTCTACAGCACAATGCTGCTACATCAATTATTCCCTGTTTTTGTTCAATGTGAAGTCACAGTAAACTTTATATTTCACTGCAATACACTGTAGAAATACTACTGTAAAAATGGCAAGAACTATTATCCAACAAATACTGTAAATTCATGCCAATTCATACAGATGATCAAAGTGTACTTTGTTAACATACACACTGTAAACAAACTGTAAATCTAAACCTTGTAAAAATGGATAAATACAAAACTAAACAAACCACATTGTGCACATTTCTAACAGCTGGCTAAAGGAGTTGTATGTATGATCAGTTAGTTGTCATGATTAGGGATGCAACGATTATAGATTTTGTTGGTACGATTATTGTCTGAGGAATAATCACGGTTTTACGATTATGACGATTATTATGCATTTATTCATTTCCCAACATTACTAATGTATAAAATCACATGAACACTCTTTAGATATTAAAGTGTTATTTATTGCTGGCTTTTGAAACGGAAATAACACAGTAACCAACAATACAGCAAAAAATAATAATAAAAAAGACAAACAAAAGTCCATCTCTCCCATTGGAATTAAAAAAAGGCGACCTCTGCTCTGTAAACATCCATGACAGTATTTCTCTTTTGAAAATAACAAATGGAAATAGATCGCAAAAATATTTAATGTTTTCAGTTTGTACATTCTTTACATTTCTTTTGGACCTGGGGTAGAGACTTTGGAAACATGGTGAAAAAAAATATTGTTGGTTTTTACTTATGAAGAATACTACAACAGGGATAGAAAACCGGTTAATCGCTGCATCCCTAGTCATGATGTTGGCAGCCAGTGTTTACTTGTGGCTGACTGGACCTCATTATCACAAGTGTCATCAAGTGGTGATATGAGGCTTGTATCTTTTAGACAGATCTAGATGAGTTCATATAGTGCTAAATGAGGACTCTGGATGACACTGACACTTCAGTAATGGCAAGGAAAGCAGTTTCTTTAGGTGATCGGGTGAAGGAAATACATAGGTTGGAAGCCAGCACGTCCCCTAAGGGTGATGATGTACCAAAATCTTGAATGTCAATGCTCACAAGTTAAGTGGAAATTTGATTGGGCACTTTCCAGTGCTCAGAAAGAAATCTTGTTAGTGCCATTGTGCAACAACAGGCACCAAAAACTAGAGGCATTGACATCCCCTATAATGAAGACCCTGGACAGTCTTGTCTTAACCCACTTTAGAACCTAGTTCAGCTCAAGATATTCTGTCAAGCACCACTTCATTCAGTAATTGAGTAATTGAGCTGGCCTTCTGGATCAGCATGTTTAGGTGCTTACAATCTGCTGAAATGGTATTGCTCCCTCAGCAGACCACAGTGCAGAAAGGCATGCAGGATACTGCAGACTAGTAAAGCTACAGGTTTAAAACTTGGGCAGCTTCTTTAAGTACAGCCACATTTCAAGAACATTTATTAGTCTAAGCTGTCTGTTCAGAATGATTCCAAGCTACATCTACTTCAACGTCAGTGTACAAGTCCTACATAGAGAGCCATGAGCTACCAACGTGCCCTTATCCCTAGGTTGCTCCAGAGAGTTGTAATTAGTAAGTCACTTTGGATCAAGTGAATCTACCTAATTGCCACTTGGGTCATTGACATGCCAAGTTCTTAGAAATGTACTCTTATATTCATCTTGGCTTCATATGGCTTTGAAAATCTTTTATACCATTTTCAAGAAAAGTTCAAATGTCTTTAAACCCTCTGTAAAAATCACATTCCTTGTACACTAAGTTTGGAATCGTCCTAACTTAGTCTCTTTCCAAAACCTTCACCCTCTCTGCTCCTCTTTGGTGGAATGAGCTGCCAGCCTCCACCCGAACTGTTGAAACCATCACAACTTTCAAGAAGCAGCTGAAGACACACTTTTCCCGCCAGCACTTAACCACCCCACACCCTTAAACCAACTCACTCGCATTCACTTTCTCTTCTGTACATTTCTCCTTTGCTCTAGCTTGCTTCCCAATCTAGCTTAGAGGCTAATTTAGCCTCAATGCACTCCCAATGACAGGATTATGTTAATATTGGTAAATATCAGGTCTAAAGTCCTTGTTTCTTTTTATTTTACAGTCTACAAAACCTACTGAGTAGACATCAGAGGACAGAGAGCACATAGCCAAAACAAACATCCTGAGGTAGGTAGAATGGCTGCAGCCCCAGAGGGAGGAACTCAGCATTTGGGTCACTAACCTGTGAATAAGAGTAACGTGTCCCAGGTTGCACCATTTGTTATTCACACAAATGGCAAGTTCACCTAATTTTTCTTGGTCTCTTGGTCTCTTTTCTCTCTGTGTGCACAATCCATTCAGTGCGATCACAGAGCTGAAAGTATCGGCTCTGAGCCAAGATTCTGTGAAGTGTAAGAGATTACAATGTGTGTATTCTTGTGACTGCTGGTCAGCACTGAGAGCTCATTCATTAAATACCAAATACCTGCACAATAACAGGTAATGGATGGTAATGTCTGTTAAAAGACATACAGTTCAAGGTGATGCTGATTTAATGGGCACTTAAAGTATATTTTCTGGGGTATCTTTATTTAAACTACTTGGTAATGGTAACCTTTTACAATAAGTTAGAATTTGTTAAAGGGGTCATATGATGCGATTTCAAGTTTTCCTTTCTCTTTGGAGTGTTACAAGCTGTTCATGAATAGATAAGATCCCTAAAGCTGCAAAGACTAAAGTCTCAAACCCAAAGAGATATTCTTTATAAAAGTTAAGACTCGTCCACGCCCTCCTAAAACACCTCGTTTTAAACACGCCCCCACATGTCTATGTCACTGTGTGGGAAGATTTGCATAACGCCGCCCAAATGTTCACGCAAAGAAAAAAGGCATAACTTTATTGTTGCTGCCACCGCCGCCGCCATGTCGTGGGGATGCTGTGTTTCGTTGCGAAAGCGAAAAAACTTAGTTTGGTCTTCCAAAAGGGGACACGACTAGAAATCAGTGGTTAAGTTGCATTTACAACACTGTTCCGGAACAGTTCAACCCAAATATTCAGATGTGTGCAGTGCATTTTATAGAGGACTGTTTCCTGATCCTTGGAGAGTAGACGACAATGCCGGCTGTTCTGACTCACAGTCTGTAAGTACGTTTTTCATATTTAAAGAATTTGCCACTGATGATTCAAACGCGAGTTTTGAGCAGTGTAGAGTAGCACTTGTTGTTTGTCATTTCTCCGATCACAAATGCAGACATGGTTTTATGTTTACGCGGCACGATGCAACGCAATGTGTAAAAAGACAGTATAAGTCATTATAATCAGAAATTATGTCCCCATTGGATGCAACAAATGCCTCGTTTGTAATGGGTTTTATTGGTTTTGTCTCGTCGCGCCGGGACACGGCATCACAGTATGGTGAGGGGCGTAACATTTCCGTCACACGCTTGAGGTATTCGGCCAATCACAACGCACTGGATAGCTGG